CTTATCCCTTCATTGATGCAAGAACGCGGTGAGCGTCGATCCTTCAGAACCCAAGAGATGCCTTCGCGGGGAGGAAACGGAAGCATTGTTTACCGGGATCCCGGCCCAGAACATTTCTGCGTTTTCTGCCGCGTCTTCAATGAAAGAACTGCGACGTCAACGATTCTCAGCCGCAATTACTGTGACTTTGAGGAGGAAACCCACGACTCTGCCGCAAGTAATCGTGAATACGGGCCGTATGCTAGCAGTGACGGAACTTGTATTATCAACTAATGCGAGTATTCCATGAGACCTTCATTCTACGAGTAGAGAGGTGCGAAACCGCTGCATAGTATGATTCCTTCCAATTGATGGACCGATCGAGCGTTCAGTCATCCGAATTCTCATTCTAACCACGACTGTGTCATTTGCCGTAGAAGGAGACGGTTTCCAACAACGGTGCCTGCAGATCTCGTGTTGAATATGTCAAGGGGCAATCAATCTCAGCCAATCACAAAGCGGGCCCACAATGAAAACTATTCTCCCCGCATTCAGAGTCTCATTCGCTTCACCGAACGCCGCCCCCTTCTCTTGATTTTATAGGTGTCCACTACATTTCCGAGATCCGAGACCCCGCTCCAGAGTGCCGTCGTGTACAGACCGGGTCCGTTGTGTCGGTTCGCATAGCGCGACTTTCGGTAGTACTTCGGAAGCATTCGCTTATCTAATCTTCTGTTTCATACGTCACGAACAAGCAAGGTGACCGACGAGTCAGCTCTGGAGCGGGCTCGTCCGACGCTAAACGGAACTTATGGCACAGATCACCATGTAGTAGAAAGAGATACATATGAATAGCCCCCGGAGCAGATCAGAATGTTTGGGTCAGCGCTCGGTGGAGCATAAACACGAGCGAAGTCCCTTATTTATTCCGCTAAATGCGACTCCGCGCATTTGTTGAGTCTGTCCGTCCATGTCTCCAATGTCCTTAGTCTTGCTTGATGGCCGTCTCCCTCATGTCTTTTGAAGAGACACGATTGTGATGAATTGAGCATAGCAGTGTCGAGCACAGGGAGACACCGTTATGCTGAAGAAATTAGGAAGTGCGTGTGAAGGGCATTGAGCGCTGTCGCCACATCCGCTGAAATTTGTGGCGACCCTTGTCGTCAACACAAGGTGACGGACGACATCGAGCAAAGGGTTCTTCCCCGGTCGTCGCGGGCGCTTGTCGCTTCTTCAGGCGCTTTTTTTTCTGCTCGACAAACTCGTCCGCTTCGCGCTTGTTTCATGTTTGTGAGCTGCCGTTATGCCTTGACGCGTCAGCGCATTTCTGGGTGCCTCAGTCAATGCTGCGACTCCCCGTGGTAAGACGTCTGGATCCGACAAACAATGGGGTACATTCTCCGTTCACGGCATTCGATTCCGGGTTGATTCCGACCGACCGCGATTTTAATCAAAGATCCGGCTCATTCGCCAAACAAGCAGCCCTCCGTCGAGCGCAAATGACTTTTTCGCAAATAGCTAAGACTATTTCCGAAGGCGTGTTCAATCGAATTCTTCTATCGTAGTTTTGAGTTCTTGGCTCTGAACTCAGTCAGATGGATGAGACAAACACAATGTCGCGACATTCACAGAATTTTTATCAATGCACCCAGAAGTCCTAGGTGAAGCTGCGGAAGAGTTGCAGATCACTGGGATTTCACGATTGATTTCCTTTCGTATGAGCGAGTGAATAGGCGGCCGGGATCCCTCGAAATCAAAGTTTCGAAATGTCGAGGCGAATCGATGATCGATCACACAAGCTTCCGCCGCAACTTACGACCGAGATCTTAGAAAGGAACTTCCGCCCTCTCCATTGTGAAACATCTGTCCGGAAGGTTGGGAGTCTGATGTTGGATCTTGAGCGAATCGGTCATCGAAGTCCCCCAGTGATGTCTCACTGGTCCATCCTGGGGTAGTGATTCTGCGAGCTTGGGTAACGGTTACCTGGATGTCAAGCGACGAAAACAGATCAATGGGAGCGCTCGATCTCGCTAAAGCTCTGCATTGAGGAAAATATTGAAAATACGAGACAAGAATGCCTCCATCGACCGGAATACGCGTGAAAGGGCATGCCTGGTTGAAAGTATTTCTCCAGCTGCTGATTTCTCCAAATTTCAGTAGTTGATCTTAATGCTCCCCGGTCGGGACTTCGGAACCTTCGACAGAAAAGCCCGCGTAGTTTTCCTCCAGACGTATACTGTACAGTGGTAGATCGTTGGCAAAGTCCCATGTTGCCCGGTCGGAGGAATATGGAGCCATTCCGCTTGGAACGAGCGAGTTTAATCGATGGACCGTGGAAGAAATAGTCAGAAAAAGTTTCTAAACCGTCGATTTAACTTTCGTGCATGTACCCCCTACGCTAATTAATTACTGTCCAACCAACTTCATAATCTGCGACCGCGGAAAATCGGTGAGATCGCAGCTGACCCGCCTGTACGAATGGGCTGGAAGGTTACGCAATGATTGGCACGAAGCGTGATTACAATTCATGACATTCACCGGAGAATTTTATCCCAGGAAGGTATCGCGTTGTTTGTACCGGAAAATAGCATTTGACGTCACCAAGCGACTCCCCGACTGCAGCACAGGTATTGTCGACTCACTTGTGTTGATGGCATCATGCCGAATGCTTTGATCTTAGAGCGTCTAGAGCACAGAATTTTCACACTGATAGTTCAACATAGAATTTCTCATTTTCATGGCGCACGAAGGCTATCGCCGCTTCCTCGCATTCATCATGTGCGAGATTTTCTACTCGGAGGTGATATTGAGGTGAAAAAAATCGATAATCATTTCCTTTAAAGAAACGGTTGTCTCCGTTCATTTTATATTGAGCTCCTTGAACATTTATACGAAGCACCAGGGCAGTCCTGTGAAGTCTTCCCTTGGAGTCGCTGAAATTTTCCCCATGCGGCACCGCCACTCGAAGAACGTACATGGAGTCTGCGAATCATGGGGTACAATATACGGAGTCATGCGATTCCTCCGCGCCGCAGGAACCGTCCTCACACGGGCTATCACTTTTTCGCGTACTTCTGGGGGGAGAAGTAATCCGAGAATCGATGGAAGAAGATCGACATAGATAGATCTTTCCGGTGGGAGTTTTGGTGCAGAGGAATGGTGTAGTGAGCCACGTAAGCTAGTATGCTCCCGTAATCGTCAACTCTGATCGTGGCGGAAGCAATCTTCGAGATGAAGTGTACTCACCAGTCACCTGTGCATGGTCGCGTCTCAATGCAATGCAAGTCTCGCTGCACTGAGCATGAATGTCAGCGGTATTTCTCAAGGGAGAAGATGATGTGGTTCCGGGAGTAATACAGAAAGACCGGGACAAGTTACCAGCCCTCCTACAGTTTGCACGAGGAAACACGCGTCCTCGTCCACTAATCATGTGTTCCTGCTGGACTCGTCTCGACCGTCGAGTCCGAAGAAGCGGCGCGGCGTCGAAAGTTCCGTATTTACTGCGTCTGAGCGGTTCACTTAATCAATACACATCGGGGAACGAGTTCTCGGAGCTTTGTTTGATTTTAGGTATATACGAAGACGAGTGAGCAGTACAGGGATCAATGATAATTGTTTTTGGATGCACTCGGAACACTGTCGCTCCGCGGAGAAAACACCAACGGCACAAGAGCGCAAGAATTCGATGCACCGGAGTGCAAAGTGAGGATTTCGTGCGCGCAGCAAGTGATGAGAAGTTCCTTCTGAGAGCTCGCCAAACAAGAACCCATGTGGCACGTTGGCACTGCGCGCGAGCAACGATTGCTCTCGAATAGGTAACCGGAGAATCAGCTGTTCGTACTTGAATCCCGTTCCGTCTCGCGCTCCACCTTCTCGCGGACCTGGGGTCGGTGATTGGTACGTGGTCACGGCCCACTTTTGATATTCCCATGTTTCTCTCGATTCTATGTTCCACGTCTCCGTCGCTCTAAGTCTCATCATTGTCATTCCCCGCACGAAGTTGCGTTTCGGGAGCGCAAACCCGTGAGAGCCATTCAATTTGTAGAATCAGCGATCGTCTCTAAGATCAGTTTGGGCTCCGGCTCATTGAATTGGTGTCCCGCTCTCTGAGTCGGCTCGCTGTCCGATCTCTGACCACAAAGTATCATGCCTTTGTTGTTGATTGATGCTGGTAGTTGTTGATGAGACGACCGGAAAAATTAGGAACTTCCATATTCGCGAGAATGAGCTGGTCCGGAGTATAGTTTCGAGCAGGAGTTCCCCACTTCATAACTGACCAGAGGGAACTGTTATCACGGGAGAAAAGCGTGGGCTTCGATCTCGAACCTCGAGCCCGAAGTAAATAGTAGCTATCTCCTGTTCTCTCAAGGAGAAGAAGGATCCGGAAACGTTCCAAACATTTATCAACAAAAAAAACTGCCGATACATCTCCAGAGAACTTATCCCAATGGCACGGTGGAGAAGAAATAATGCACAAGCGCCAAGTATGACCTTTTTTGTTAACGGAATCGATCGAGATGCGATCGATGATACCGATGCCTGCTCCGTGATCAATGGTCGAGTGAGCGGCTCCGGCCTCGGCTCACGAAGTTCTTCGTTCGGAAGCCGGACGGATCTTCAAGTTGATGCCAATTTGAAATCATCGCTCCGGGAGATTTCATCATTTCTTCCCAATGAGAAAGAGCGTCTCCTCGCGCGAACATATACGGCCCTGAAATGTGATCGGAGGATGTATTTGTAAGGATTCGGATAATGATGACAGGCGTTCCTAATGCTCGTCAGGAATGCACGCCAACTCCGCCGCTCGGGATAGACAGCTGCGGGCTTCCCGCGATGGATCGCGCGAATATCGGCAGACTCCGTTGAAATTTTAACATTGCTCCATTTCCATCGAGAGCGAATTCTTCCCTTTACTAGCGACACGCTAAGCCCGTAGAGATCACGCAGCCACATGTTCTCTAAGGATTGCAGCGGAAATTTGACATCATATCGTCTGAGTTCGAGAGGCTAGATGGGGCGATCTATGACGCACCTAGAATGATATTACCGAGAATCAAATCTCGCGCTGGGGCATTATCCTTCGGTATTATAGCTGCCACGATGGTCAGGCTCAACGAGCAGGAATCGAAGAATTTTCCCGGTATCCCGAAGTTGAAGGACTCGAAGATCGAAACTTCGTCGTTCGCGTCTCTCGGAATCCGCTGCGCGGATGTCGTTTTCGTCTTCAGCAGATGATGCCCGTGATATAATTGGACGCGAACGTAGGCTCCTGCAAATAGCGGAAGGCATAATTCACAACAATATTGCGCACGCGCGCTTCCGCTAGGAGGGCGTCAGAATCGGCTGGACGCGAATTGCGTGGATAGGCTCCGAATAGGATATTGCGAGGCGGAATGGACCGCAAGTTCAATGAGAGGGTAAGGGGCGAAATCGAGGATGTATCATGAATACCGGAGAGGCGGATGTCCCGAGGTGTTCTGAAGCCTTTCATCTTGAGAACATTTATTCGGATCCTGTTGGTCAAGGGGTTGCAGGTGAGTCCCACGAAAATGTCTCCTGGACTGGAACCCCTTCGCTGCATCGACTCCGGCTCCTCTTTCCCAGGTCGTTCGGAACGGGACAAATCCAGAACAAGGTTCTCCTCACGTTCGGGGCTGACCACGTCCAACGGTTGCATTACCATTCCGACCATCTGCATTGAGAGTGCTGATTGGGTCTAAGTTGCACGGAATCCGGAACTTTCGCATTTTGACCAAGATCGGATCCGTCGCTCTGATATGGAACTGGTTCAAAGTAGATCACCTCTCGTGATCCTCACCTTAGGACTCCGGCCTTCTTCTCTGTCGAAGACCACGATCTTAAGCGCTTTCTCGTGCAGGTCCTGTGGAGCGAGGGCGAACTCAAACGCCTCATCGAATTTGGGATTGAGGGTCCTGTGACGGGCCTTCGTCTCGAAACTCTCTGAATCGGAATTGCTCTCGGGGACGAGCGAGACATTGACGTAGGGATTCCTAAAAAAGAGGATCATCATGGGAGGAATAGATGGCGAGAGACTGGCTCCAGAATTATCGCGATTTCTCCCACAACTTCCTTGCGAACCTCCGGAAGTATTGGGGTCCGCGCGAAGTCCACAGACAGTGGGCTGGCAATCCTTTGCAGTTGAGCACATGGACGAGTAGGACTTCACCGTTGTAGGCCATACGCAGGCTGATCTTTCCTGGGCCCTCATATCGTCCTGGAGCTTCGTCATCTTCAGATCTGGGAAGGGGGGGAATGGGAGCTCGATGAGCGTCGGGTGTCGGGTATCCGAAGACCCAGCCGGGAGTACAGAAATCACTTTCGAAGCCTAGACGAGAGTTATCCGGTTTCGTCCCGTGTTCCACAAAAATGTATTGACTCCTACCTCGAGCCTTCGTCTTCGATGGATTCGAGTCGGCTCCGGTAGGACGGAAGTGACTTGGTGTAATTCTTGAGGATGTTCTCCATCTGCACCGGATCGAAGAGCGGCGCTCCCTTCCGACAAGCATCCCCCAGGGTCGATGGTCCCGCCAGATATTCCTTGCGTGACTGTGGAGGTCTGCTAGTTAATTAGAACCAGTGTCGCCCCGCTGTCCGCTGAGGGAGAACTCAGGGAGCAACTCCTTTCGCGACAATCGGAGAGCGTACTTACGTTCTCCAACTATGACTGCGGGGTCTTCCAAGGGCGAGCGGTGGGCTCGCGTCCCGACTCTTGGAGATCGCTCCCCTCGACGTGGCTTCATCTTCATTCGCTTTTGATAACTTCCGTTTCCTCATCCACGTGGTGAGGATGATCAAGATTGCGATAATGAAAAATGTGGTCAGGGCCACGAACCCGATAAGCTCTGAAATTGAGAGCTTCCTTAGAACGGGGCTCGGCAGCATTGCGACGATAGAAATCCGAGATACACATCTGGATTTCGTAATCCAATTTCAAGTTCGAACTCTCGAACATTGTAAAGTTGTCGTCGGCCAAGGTTGCCTCAACGACTGACATAACCAGCTGTCACCGTCGTTCGAGGAAAACGTGATCCCTAAGTGTTTGATCATTCCACAGGAAGGGATGAAATGAAGTAGGCGCAGCTGATTGTACCATAAGGTTTCCCGAAGAGTCGTAGGGGATTCGCTACACTCAGTCATGATATCTCAAGGACCGGGCTATTGTGGGACAAGATCCTCGCAAGGGCAGTATTTGTGATGAGGTATCCTGACTGATTGCAGCGGGTCCCTCGGAAGCTCCCGGGAGCGATTCGGTAAGTATCTTCAAGCCCATCGACGTGACGATAGTCTGATCCATATCTTCTGCGGATACAAAAATTTCGGAAAGGAACCGTCCAAGGATTCGCGAAGCCAAGCTCGGTCTATTTCTGATCGGAGTGCTTCGAGGCGGGAACAAAGTGGCTCGATGACGATGATCCGGCCGCAAACTCCGAGACGGAACTTCCTATTGTGTTGGCGCGTTCGCTTCCAGGCCTACACGTCAGTGATAGAGCCGACGTGTAAAGGTGAGCAGCCGAGGAGCGTAGTGTGTGAATCCCCTCTTCCTTTCCCCTTCGAGTGTCGTGGGAGCTGGTGACGTTTGCAGCATGGTCCGTAGGTTGATTAGGTTTGCCAATCCGGAACACACGCCAATTATTTTCGAAAAACTAGAGCATCGGACAATTTGATGATTCACACGGAGCGTAGGACGCTTGTTTGTTGGTCAGTTCGGAAACACGCCGCGCCGCTAGAGCAACCTAGGACTCCAAATTTTCATCGAGTCTGACACTGGGGAATTTAGATCGTGGCCAGCGAGTGTGAAACGGAGCAATGGTCAAACACAGTGGAGTCTCGAATACACCGTCAGCCCCGATATTCACCTCGATCATGAGATCATAGCTCGATCTATTCGAGATTCCATGGAATATCACTCATGTCCATATGAACCGAACGTATATTAACGTACATCAGATAATATAATCGAGGTCCGTCTGAATGGAACAGAAAACGAGAGTTTCCTGAGCGATCGATGTCGGAAGTGATAAGCGACGGTTGATCTCGGGGGTATGAATCGACAACTCATCTCATCCTCAGGGTGTAGGCCCACAACGGAACTCGTCCATCGAACAAACTCTGCTCGGCTGAGGGCGGACATCCGATGAGGATCGTTAATATACCTACGAAACTGGAAAAAGTTTTTTCCGAAACAACCAGGCATTTTATTAAGAACGGGGGGCCGTATTTTCTTTCGTCGCAGACCTCGCAGCGGAAAAGCGTAGGACACTATTCGGCGTCGACAGCGAAAATCGCCCGTTGTGAGTTGTGCTAAGCAGATGTTTTGTTTTTCTCTCAACGGTGTTCCTTGCGGGCCGCGATCGGCTCAGGCAAAAGCCAAACTCGCCAAACCAGTTCAACAGCAAGCGATAGGTGCGGATGAATTTTCGCGGAACCGGAGGATTCCAAAGTCCTCTACTGAGATCTGCGATCCACGAGAGCCAATCGAACTGAGGGGATGTATTTTCTAGAAAGTGTTTTCCCGATTTCCGTTCCGAGCACCTATCCTAGCAGCCTTCCTCACCTCCATTTCCATCGATTTTCCTATCCAAGATCGCTACAAAAGCAGCGAAGGTTCCCTCAACGGAGGGCGATTCCCTCATGGTTACACCATCTGCAACGACGATCCGGAACAATCACAAGCACTGTTGCACGTCGTTGCACTATCCTTGTTCCCTCAGTAGTCTCTACATGAGCGACTAGCGTGTCTAGGCGCGACTAAGCTCTGCTGGCAGACCCTCTCTGAACGATCAACATGACGGAAAGTAAGAGCAGCCCAACCTTAAACCGATCTCTAGGATAAGCAGGCAGAGGCTGTTGTTGTCACAGCTTGCACTCGCCGCATTCTGCAGAAAAAAGCGGTCGTACCATTCTGTACCGATTACGACATGCCAACTCCTTCGAGCGGCAAAATCGCCAGGCAGCTTGACGCAATAAATGAGGAGTGGTGTGAATTCCCGAGAGGCTCCGTTGTCATGAATTCGATTCAGATGCCTCGTGCTATCAGATTCTTTCGGGCTCCCGGGGGCTCTGATCAGCCCATCCTAAAAATGAGGGCTGGTGGAATGAGGGTGAAGGGCTAACCACTAGAGACGTGGGGACACCGCTGGAGAATTTGAGCTCCGGCCCTCATTTTCTCAGTCGGGACCCAGATCAATCTTACAACGGACTTTCTCGGAAGTCCTGAAACTTAAAAACTGCCGGCATAGTATGTATAGTGACTGTCTTTCAGTGCATGCTGTCGGAAGGAAGGAAGGCCGGATGGAATTCGAAAATCGACTCCGACGGGCCTTCTATCAAACTGGAACGCGTGAGTTACGTCAGAGACGCACAGGAAGGCGCTCGAACGAAGGATCTACCACTTGCGAAGGTCGGTTCATCCTTTGAACTCTTTCGTCTCGGACAATCAGAGCTCGATTTATTTCTGAGGGTAGTTTGAGCGAGAGATCATCCGCGGTCGACTCACGTCTCGGAATTGGAGAACAGTACAGATTGGATAATGAAACGCTGCCCAGCGCTTCCCTTTCCGTTGAAAATGTTGCGGAATCGAATGCGGAGGACATATTTTTAGCTTCTAAAATCTGCAAGGGGGCAATATATCCCTACCTCAATCACGCAGAGAACGAACTTCGACCGACAAGTTACACATCGAGAGCGTAATCCCCCAGGTGAGCAAGCTTCAGGTGCAATTCCGCCGAGCAGTTTGAGAACTCAAAGATTGCGTGACATTCAGGAACGAGTTTCATTTGCTCTCGAACAGCTCAGTCAGTTCGTGTTATGTCGATTCTGCCTGCAATGGGTTACGCGACTGCGGATGCCGCATCATAGCAAGAAGAGTTCCCGCACCATATGGTACTTGACCCGGAGATCCGATATAGGAGTTGCCCTCGAGAGACATCCCGAATGAAAATATATATGACAATCTGTGCTTTCGGAGAAGCAAGCGAGTGAATCTCTAATCGTTGAACCTATTCTTCTCTATAGCTCAGCTCTCCGGAGTCGACTCGAAGAGACGCTGGATCATTGCTCGGCCTTCACGCCGCGTCTGAAGACTTCACGGAAATGGAAAATCCATAATAATATTCCCTGAACCTGCGGGAGCGGTCGGCGAGATTCTAGGCGGGGCCCGAAGTCCACTCGACCCATAGCGACCCATAAAGAAGTAGGCCGTGTATTCGGGACATATCGTTCTTCGAATCCGAAGTTACGTCTTCAACCCCCTCGATACTCTCGCGCATCGTCCCGGTTACGATGAGGAGACTTCTTTGCTCCGTCAATTGGGTTTTCGGGAGAAATGCTTCAGGGAGCGATCGGCGGCAGCTTATCGTTTCCTATCGATTCTCAGGGAATATGTACTGTCGAGCCCGCTCATAAGAGACCTCTCGGGAAATTAAGAATCGTCTCTTATATCCGGTTTCTCTAACATCCGAGGTACGGGTTTTTCATGGAAGAACCTGAGAAGTCCCGTTCTCCTACGACTCGGATGCCCATACCATGATTCAGCGCAGAGACGATCGTTTCCAGCGCGAATACTGATTTATTACGGAAGTTCATCAGAACCATATTTTATTCGGGCAGCTTTTGAGAGAAAGAGAACTCATGGAAGGGCGAACCAGAACTCTGCTCGAGATAATTTTCTCTTATATGAGAGGTCTCCGACACGGGACTCTACGCAGCCGGGGTTTCAGAATGGTCTCTCACATCCGGTTTTCTCTTATATCCGAAACTCTTATAAGCGAGGTTTTCAGCATGAAGTCTCATAGAGAAAAAATCGGGGAATCGGAATCGGTCTCCGATATCCGGTTTTCTATCTTCAGCGGTTTTCTTACAAGCGGTTTCGTATGCATCATATTGAGTGATCTATATTCCTGGAGCGTGTGGAAGGAGCTTCTATCCAAAGAGGTGATGGGAGCTCTCACGATGCCAGCAATACAATTACGAAGGATGAGGGACGAAAGCCTGACGGCTCGACGTGTCCTCATTTCTCGCTAAGATTCACCATCTGTCGCGCTCTGCAGACTCGATGCTCTGTAGAGTATTCCCGGTTGTCTACAACGGAAGTTCCCCGAGGGGCTCCGAAAACCTCACAGTTCTTCGAGCTTGAGCGGCATATGAAGATTTCTGAGAGCTAAACAGAGCCTCCTTCTCTGCATCAAATCAACGAGATCACCTGGAGCTCACGGCTGCAGCCGCGGCAGCGACGAGGCTGTTCGCCGTTTCGGCAGATGCGGCGCAACAGATTCAACAGTGTACAAAATTAAAAACCAGGGCTTCGTCGATGAGAGCCAGCAGCGAGTAGCCAATATCTCGGAACGTGTTACCGATACGCCATGTGCTGATCGATCATCCGGCTCGAGGAATGAGAGCCGAGCTGTTGACAGAATATCTATCGGGGCTGGTTGATTGATATTTTCAGATTAGAGCCGGAAATTTTCTTCCGCTGAGACTTCGAAAGCGGGACGACTCTTGGACGATTGGGAGAGCTTCCCGATTGGGATCGCATTATGAATCGAAGCTGAGCAGAGGAGGGCGCGACGCTGGCTTCGTCGAGCGAGCATGCGGGCATCCGAACACAGGTCGCGATCGAGGACGTTCGAAGCTCCAGAGGCTAGGACGGAGAGTTAGAAGCAGGGCAGGCTTCGGAGGTTGCCTCGAGAAGCATTGTGTGGTTTCGCGCTCGGCCCCCGGATCTTTAAAGTCCAACGACCGGAGGAATTCTGGTACAACAGGAGGTTGCCGCTTCACCCGACCGGTGGGGTTTGAAACCTGGATGGGAATGCGAAAAGAATCATTTTCAGAATCTCGAACCGCCCGACACCTGTTCGAGAATGAAAACCATCGAGTTCACCCAAACTGAGATGCT